AATTTGATATGTAAAAGTAAACAGACAGTGTTTAATTTTGCACACACTAGGAGAGGAAACTGGTTACCTCTCTTTATATGCGTAAATTTAAACGAAAATTTTTTAGAGGAAATTTTAAACATTTTATGTGTAAACTATGAAAATGTGAACAATAAATGTTTAAAACTCAAAAAACAAATTTGAAATTTGTTCTACGCCACACATATGATAAGTAAAAGTAAGCAAGCAATGTGTAAATTTGCATTCATTAAGAGAGGAAACTGGTTACCTATCTTAATATGCGCAAATTTAAACAAAAATTTTTTAGAGTGATATAAAAAAAAACCGTGTCACTGTGTTCGTTTACGGTAATCTCCGAAACCGCCCAAGCGATTTTAATTAACTTTTGTGGGTGTGTATTAGTGACTCCAACTTGAAAGATAGAATTATTTTGGACCCGATACGTGGACTTTTGTCGAGAAGAATTTTTTACGTTTCGTTGAAATTTTATTAAATTTCTGTAGATTCCTTGTTATTATTATTATTACTACTTTCAACATTGAATACAATTTTTATACCCGAGCGCACAAGGGTATTATAACTTTGTTCACATAACGGTTGTTTGTAACAGGCAAAACGAATCGAGGTAGATATTGACAAATGTATACATAAATGCTCAGAATCAAAAGAGAAATCGATTAAGCGATGACTGTCTGTCCGTCCGTCCGTCCGTCCGTATGTACACACGATAACTCGAGTAAAAATTGAGATATCTTAACGAAACTTGGTATGTGCACTTCTTTCTGGCGTAGGACGGATGCTATTGAAAATGGGCAAAATCGGACAATAACCACGCCTACCTCCCATATAACGGTAATTTAGAGAAATACAAAATCTTCGATAAATCAGTAAACACTAAAGCTAATTTATTCAAAATTGACGCTTGCAACAATTCTTTACCAAGAAATACGGTTATGATAAAAGTTGGGAAAATGGGCGTGGCACTTATGATCACATATATGTATCTCGGTAACCGTTCTACCAATTTCTACCAAACTCGGTGTGGTTATTGAAATCGGACTAAAATTACGGCCGCTTTTCATATAAAGATAAATTTCAGAAATGCTTGAAACTTCAATATTTCGAAATTTAAGGACGCTAATTTACTCCAGCTTACCATGTAGCGGAAGCTTTCGGAAAGGTGAAACACATATATTTAATGTTTGCGCCGGGTATTTAATGTTTGGCTCCGCCCAAACTTAGACTTTCTTACTTGTTTTTTTATTCAGTTTAAAACAATAAAATCCACATAGCCACACTAATGTGAGAACCCAAAAAAAATTTAAATACTAATTATTATTTTTAATTTTTATTGGTTTTTCGTCCTTGTAAAGTATTAATAATAAAGGTCTAACATACATATAAGTTTATTTTTAAATCAGAAAGACTATATTCCAAACCACTGTGCTATGGGCAAATGCACTCATATACATACATACATATATATGTATATTAATTTTCATACCTATGTACATAAAAACTGTTTGTTAGTTTTCTCACTCAGCTGTTCTGTCTGACTCAACTGTCTGTCTGCAACTGTTCGAATGTCTGCGCCGCGACAGATTAATGATTCGTATTAATTTTTTAAATTTACCTAAATACTCGTACTACATACGCACATATGTACATACATACATACATACGTGTAGCTTGGTTATAAATTCCAAATGCTAAAATAAACGACAACTGCCAATTTTTCAGCAATTAGCCAAGTGGCACGCAGGCCCATCAGCACACCGCCGACGATGACGACCAACAACAAGCAATGAATAGCTTGATAGCCGCTGATACATACATAGTTGCTAAAGCAGTTGAGCGTAATTAATAAAGTCACCAGTCAGCAGCAAATGTACGCAATCTCGCTGAAGAACGGCAACACATGCAACAATGGCAGACGTTTTTGTGGGCGGGCCGAATGAAATTGATGCAACTAAAAAGCGCATTAAATGCAAGGCAAGGCAATGCAATGCAATGTTGCAGGAGGTTGTGGCGTTAGTGGCTAGACGGGCAACAGATTGTCCTCCTTAAAAGACTTTTGAAGACAAATGTTTGGGGCTGTGTCTGTGGCATGCGCCTGATGTGCTCGCTGCTGTTGCAGCTATTCATATAGAGAGGATGGAAAATGGGGCTTCACTTCATGTAAATATAAATATATACATATATACGGAATATCACTCTGTCTGTCAATAAATAAGCATAATTTTACTAAGCTAACACAAAGTTCTTAAAAATTTATTGTATTCGTGCTGATTCTCGCATTAATTATTTATTGCATTTTCAAATCTGTCATAGCAAAACAGATTTAGAAGTGTCTTTGTTAAGAAAGAATTGTCACAGGAAAACTCTACGAGGCGTTCATTATTATTTTTGTTTAAACCAACATTATGGTTACCATTATCACTATCATAATCATCATTATTTGTAATTACTGGCAACATATTTGAAGGCTGTTTAAGGCTGGCATACGTTCCAACGTCTTGGAGCACTGCGAGGGTGGTCTTCTTGCAAAAAGTGGGCAGAAGTGGACACGTATACGCCCAGACTACAGACCCATTAGCCTAACATCGTTTCTTCAAAATATCCTGGAGAGATTATTAGAAATACATATGTACATCCTACAAATGGTGGGCCTGCCGAAGTTACTGCATATGCGTGTGATTTTTCTGTGTTTAGGTAGAAGGGCCTCCTCTGTAGGTCTAGGCACACTTTGACAAGGCAGGGTGTGGGGGTAGAAACAGAGGGTGGAGGAACATAATGACGACCCCTAAGGCTAAGGCTATAGGCAAAGAGCTCCGTGGCGACCACGAAGACCCTCAAGCGACTTATATCCATTCCGAAAAACTCGCCGGGAGTGTGAAAAAGTGTGACTCAAGGCGCTTGAAACTTAGGCTCGGAAACGCAGGTAACCAGTGCAGCGGGGTTTGAGATGATTCCACCTCCTTATCCTCCAAGCAGCTGGTGCAGTAAAGCTCATCGATGATATTAGTGAAAGGTGTAAATTGGTAAGTTCTAAGAGCTACCTGTACCGCTTTTACCTTGTATTCCAAGCTCTTCGGACAGCACCCACTTAGCCGACCAAACGCCGATCCAGAAGTAAACCAGAAGAAGTCATGGAAGCACCAGGGCTTATTTTATCCGGGAGTATTTCCTTAAAGGTTCCTGTGTCGCTAGCTCATCGACCATGCAGTTTCCTATAATTATTCTGTGACCCGGAACCCAAATAAGCTTAATAGCATAATAGTCCAATGCAGTCGATAAGGAAGTCAAACCAACCTTGACCGTTTCCGAACGAAATAAGAGCCCTGACGGCTGTTTGGCTGCCAGAATAGCTATTCACATCCCCAAAACGTCTCTCACAGGAGAGCAATAAATCCTAAGCCTCCTTTATTGTGGCTGCCTGGTAAACGCTGCAGTGATCTCGTAGCGTAATTTTTAGGTTGATGGAGAGTTTGTAGCAGAATACACCTCCACCAACCTTCCAATTCATCTTCGATCCACCTGTAAAAAAACTTAACCGGGTCCCGATTTCAGATGCTCCCGCCCATCTTACTACGGTGCCTTCCG